ATGTAATCCGTATGAAATGTGCATTTCTCTCTGGCGCGTTCACTACTGAAGATCGCGAGTCAGCATCGTCAACTTCATCTAGCCGACACTGACAAAGAAAACACTTGTTTATTAACAAGTGTTTATTAATAAACAATTAAAATATCTCCTTGCTATATTTTACATATTCATAATCATTCCTTTTGCCGGTTCTTTGTGGCAGCTTTTAGGTGCTTTATTGGCAGCGCCACCCTTACATGTGGTGTGTGTGTGTGTGTGTGTGTGTGTTGTCCCGGCATTTAAAGATGGGACCCCCCAAAAATGTAATTAAATTAAATAAAGCAACATGGTAAAAAGATGAAAATGACTTGATTTTACTTTCAATTCCTTTTACATTCTCCAAGGTATTAACATTAACATTTTTCATAACTCCATGTAGGACGTTTCTGTGCATAAATGTAAGCACTGAGGCAGTAGATTAGTAATGCAATATTTAGAAAATCTACTCTTGTACTCTTGATACTCAAGTACTTTTAAAAACAAGTACTTTAGTACTTTTACTTAAGTAGACATCTGAATGTAGTACTTTTACTTGTACTTGAGTAAAATTTAGCAAGGGGTATCTGTACTTTTACTCAAGTAACAAAGCTCTGTACTCTGTCCGCCTCTGGGGCTAATACAATGGCTGCCTCGTACGCGTGACCTTTAAGACCATGAGACCGCAGGGTGTCTCATTAGTCATTTTAGGTTTCAGAAGGCCAAGGGTGCTCGCGAGTTAACATGTAACATCTAACTTTGTGGTTAACATGTAACATCTAACTGATGCGAGCTCCGCAGCAGACTTGTTCCTGACAGTCAAAGCAATGTTACGTCAGGAAAGTGCAGAATATAAAAGAATAAAAAAGACAAAACCACGTTTTGAAAGAGATATTAATGATGTATTGACTCGTTATTTAAATTTGGTCAATTTTGAACAACAAAAAAGCTACCTACATAGTGTGCCTTAAAATATTACGGATTTACAGTAATAATCCAGTGCATCCTCATTGCTTTTATAAAACAGTTGCTAACTTGCTACACAATGAATACCGGTAATAATAAAGTAATCAAGTGGTATTTGGTTAGGCTATAGAAGAAATAGACCCTGACATGTAAAGTAAGATTGATTTATTTATGAGAAATTTCATATTTCTTAATGGGATTGTAGACATCCTGAAATATAGTTAGGCACTTCAAGTTGATTAAACTCTGTAACAAGTAATAACTGGCCCATTCTTTGAGTAACTTCAATACTTTCTTCACTAGATGGCGCTGTGGTGTCAAAACTATCAATTCAAGGTCTCTTTATTATGCAACAGTAATGTAAAACTTTAGGGTGCACATTTTATAAAACTAAATGAAACTTGTTAAAACATTTATCACATGTCTTGGATTAAAGATCTAAGTATGACCTTGATGTGTATGTGCTCTCTAATAATATTTTCTGTGTTTAAAAAAAAAAAAAACTATAACTATGAAAATAAAATAAATATTATTTTTTTACACCTGAAAAAAAAAATACTCGGATAAATCAAAATTTATCACGGTTTTTATCAATGTTGCCCTGGCAGAGTATTATTTTGTTGCCCTGGCAGAGATATGGCCCCTTCTCATTATAGCAAAATATAACGTTCTTCAGAACTCAATTGTATTGTTACATTTTCAGTATGATGGTGATCAGTATTAGCCTCGTGAGACCATCCTGATCTCGCGAGCTTTCAAGGTTTCACTCGTAGATCAGTCTGGATACTTTCCGTTAAAGAAAATTTGGGAGCAGTTCACCAAACGAACGTCCAATCAGCGTTGGCTTTGAGGCGGGTTGAGGTGTGACGCAACGAGAAGCGCGTCAGTTCAGTCTAAAGAACATGTCGGCTTCAGCGGATGAAACTAGCATCAGCGTGGCTATCGAGCGAGTTTTATCGGAATTACAGAGTATTTCTTCACTGAAAGAAGAGCAAAACACTGCTCTGGAGGCTTTTCTCAAAGGAAAAGATACGCTCTGTTAGTACGTCATATGCTTCGTTGATCTGATTGGTTGATTTGGCCCGTCTATCACCAACATAGGCCAATCAGCTAACCAGTATTTTCGCCCCTTACCAAAACTACTTCAACGGAAGGTTTCCAGATGGATATGCGGAGCAAATCCATCTGGCGGAGTCAGGTTAGATCAGTATTGGGGACGACGGAAATTAATGGGGAGTTTTTTCCTTAAGAAAAGTGCAACAGAATTTCCCTGACACCTTTAATTTATTTTTTATTTACTTAGAAAGTTAAAAATATGTTTCAACATTTAAACAATCCTACAAATATGAGGGAAAAGCAATAAAATGTGCACAATAGAGGTCAAAGCTAACAATTCACCTTAAACAAATCATTGTGTTTATTTATTTTCCTTTTATATCCTATTCTAGAGGGGCAGAAAAGTTTCCTAATAGACAAAGCTCGTATAACGCCAGTATTGAGAGGACCTGTTAACACAACATATGAGCACAAATAAGTTCAGCTCCTGTCTAGGTCACAGCAAAATCCTGATTTGAAACGGGTGGCATCACTCTGCCACTCAGTACAATGTCTTCTCTGTGTTCGGTCCCTGTGTGGAGTGTATGGAGTTTAAGAACATTGCTTCCTTCATCTGGCTCACAGACAAATTTAGCTACATCTGTCCTGCAACAGAGATTTGATTCTTCCTCCTTTATTTTTGGCATTTTATAAGTCCTTATAGTGCACTTGGGGCTCCGAGGGTCTCTCTTAGCGTCTTAGGTTTCAGCAGCTGTGGACTGCCTCTTTTCTCTTTTGTATGAAGTCTGGTCTATCCTGCCGCATTTGGAGTTCACAAGAATTCTTTAAAACTCATGTGTCTTAAAGTACTGGAAGTATTTAGATTTTCCCGCATTTAACCATACATAACAGTGTCATCATTGCTGAGACGGAGAGTGTAATGATGAAAGGATTGTTGTAATGGTACACTGTAAAAAAAAAAGTAAGCTAGTAAACCAAAAAAAAATCGTAGTACTAATTTCCACTAGCTTTTTCTTGTTGACTCAACTTTTGTAAATAACAGTTATATAAACTGAAAATAAGTTGTCTGTGACACAAAAAAACAAACGTTTAGTTGAGTCAACTTGACACTATTTGTTTTCTGGAGTGGTGCAACTATTCTGTAGCAAATCTTTTGTAGTTGAGCCAATTCAAAAAAAAAATGTCTATTGGGATTTTTTGTATTGAAAATCATTTGGTCATCACCATTTTGGTGATGAGCGTTTCCTTTGGTTGGTCAGTTTGGCTTTGTGTGTGAGTTTGTGGTCTTTGTAACATTGTTTAAAAAAACAATAATGTGTTGCTATAAGAAAGAAACCAATATGATCAAGTTTTCAGCCTCATAAACTAGAATAAATCCCTAATCTTATTTCTGACCACAAGTGTTTTTTTTATTTATTATTATTAAAATTTTACCAGCAAAACTTTCTTGCAGCAGATCAGACATTCTGGTTTCTGATTTTAAAATACGTTATGGGGAAAAAAGTCTTTGGACACACACACAGACATCAAGAATCAGCATATGAATCTCAACAATGGTGACATGCTTTATTTTGATGTCTGTGTGTGTCTCTAAAAGACAAATTCCCACAATATATTTAAAAATCTAAATTTAGAATGTCTAATCTGTTGCATAAAAGTTTTGTTGGTTAACCTAATATATTATTCACAAACAACATATTTTGATCAGGAATAAGAGTAGTGACCTATTCCCTTTTTGATGCTGTTATCTAGATCACCTGATCATTTTGTATTGCTTTCTTTGCAACAAACTATATGTTTTGCTAAACACTGTTACAACGACCACAAAATCACATAAATGTCAAGAGTCAAACTGACCAACTCAAGGAAACGCTCATCACCAAAATGGTGACCAAACATTAAAAAAGGGCTACATCTGAACCTGTTTATTCTTAATAAGAACTTCTGTTTCCAATAGACAAAAAATGTTGAATTGGTTCAACTACAAAAGATTTGTTACAGAATAGTTGCATCTCTCCAGAAAACAAATAATGTCAAGTTGACTCAGCTAAACGTTTTTTTTTTTTTGTGTATGTCTATTTTCAGTTCATATAACTGTTATTTACAAAAGTTGAGTCAACAAGAAAAAGCTTGTGGAAATTAGTACCAAGTACTTTTTTGTTGTACGCGATTTTAACAGTGTGGATTTTTGCTGAACCAACACAACAAAATCAGTTAATTTCAACTTTTTTCAAGTTGTGTTTTTTACAGTGTAGCTGGCAAATGGTGTAGCCATCTATGAGTAGGCCTACTTTTCACTATTATCAGATGAATTCATAAATGTACAGGTTTCCTCTTCTGGGAGACTGATCAACATCCCTGTATTTAGCGTTACAAAATAAAGAAGCAACTGTGAGATACAGCCTAGAGACATAACTATGAAAAAAAGCCACAATTGCCTTATTTTATTTTATTTTGTTTTATTATTTATTATTAATTAATTAATTTGTTTATGTTACAGTATAAAAATACCTGACACAGATAAATAATAAAATAAATTAAATTAAATTAAAAATTAAATAAAAAAAGCTGTGTGAGTTTTAATTATTTATGTTTGTTTTGTGCAGTTTTAATTCCCACCTGAGAAAGTATTTTTCTTAGCTATTTTGTTGGCTATTCTGTAACCTAATTTATTAATAACTAAGTTATTGTTCGCCGAAAAAAAAACGTAAAGTGAGCAAAAAGAAGTCAATATTGTTATTGAATTGTATTAATCTTATTTGTGTATGTTTTAAAAAGAAAATAAATGATTAATTCAAAGGATTGTTGAGAAGGACTATAACTTTTTTTGGGACTTTTCTCAGTCAAGCAGCCACGCCTCCCAATCGAGCTCATGTTTTATGCATGAGCACAGCCTTCACTGTAATAGGATTGGTAAATCCGCTTGCGGGGCGGAGTTGAAGCGACAGCGCCTGTAGTTGTCCGCTGAAGTGCGTTTCAGAGACTGAATCATGAAGAACAGAAAAGCTCACTGGGAGTGGTGCGGACATTGTGCAATATGCGAATAGGACACGTTATGTGCGCTCTTGTTGCCTCTGTGGAGTTATAATGCAGCTGCTCACAGACCCTGCTGCTGACCTCCATGAAGTGTTCAAGCTCAGATAAAGTCGGACAGACACTGTAAACGGATACTGGGAACACGTACAGGACAAACCCGCAGAATAAGAGTGTGATTGTAATACTGGAGGAGAGATGGGGAACGCTGGGAGTATGAACCAACACACGGACCCCCGAGGACACCACATGCCCCTCAAACTGCCCATGCCCGAGCCGGCGGAGCTGGAGGAGAGATTTGCGCTCGTTCTGGTCTGTAATAATGATCTTAAAGATTATCTGACAAACAACCAGAAAGAAATATGCACTTTCAGATTTCACTTTCCTTGTTCTATTCTATTCTATTCTATTCTATTCTATTCTATTAACATAGTTGTTATTTTATTTATCTACAATCAAAAGTATATAGATCCGTCTTCTAGACATAGAGAAGTTTACGTTTCCATTGTATTTTTTTTGGTTCTATTTTATTCTATTCTATTCTAAACTTGGTAGTAGTTATTTTATTTATTTACTTTCAAAAGTATATGTATCCATTTTGTAGATATAAGATGATTACTTTGCTGTTTTACTTTTGCTGCGATTCTATTCTATACTCTTTTCTAAATTTGTAGTTATTGTATTTATTTGCAATCAAAAGTACATGGGTCCGTTTTGTAGACATATAGAGATGTTTACTTTGCTATTGTAGTTTGCTGCTATTCTGTTCTATTCTATTAGTCATATAACTGGCCTTGGACGATTCCATGGTAGAGTGATGGTATCAGATGGTAATACAACAGTAGGCTACTTGAATTTAATTATCATACTCATATACCACAGTATTATTTACTGGCACTTCAAAGACTACCATGGTTGATACAATTTCAAAAAAGCTGTGGTACTTTTTGTTAACTTTTTTGTTTGTGTGGTAATGTTTGATATTCAGGTGTGTCTGTCTGGGTTACTGTAACCTATTATAAATAACTTAGTCTTGGATGATAGAGCAAAAGCAGAATACTTGTGTTTATTATTATTTCAATTTAATGTCATTTTATTCATGAATGTGTTAATAATGGCCCTGTCTTTGGGTCTGAAAGTGCTGCTGAGGGTAAAATCTTTTTTTTTTTAAAGATATTTTGTCCTGGGAGGTCTAGATTGGTTGTCTTTCTTCTGTCTTGGGAAAGTTTGCTTATCACACACTTCCACCAATGCGTTCCAGAGAATAAAATAGCCATATGTCTTTAATATTTAATATTAATTATTAAATGGCCATTGTCAAGACAGATTACACCTTCATGTCATAATTTGCCTCTGTCTAGAACAGCAGTTTCCACACATTCCCTACTCACCCAGTTCTTTTAGCATAATGCTGACTGGAATATGGCACAGGAAATGGTGTCATGAAGTTGGAATCTACAATCCTTTGACTGAAGAATGCAAGGAATGTATTCGATTAGTATGCAGCTACCTGAAGTGTGCTGTGTGTTGAGTTCTGGCCGTCTGCTAGGCCTGGTTTTATGGGGACATATAAATGTAGGTCAGACCTAATGCTTCACTAAACACTAGACAAACCCTTTCAATTAACGCACACTCTCACACTCACTATTCAGAGAGCTGGAGGTTTCTTCAAGGAAAGCAGTTAGTTCAGTCAGTCCCTAAGAACTAAGAAAAGGGAGTTGTTCGGTCTCTTTCTTTTACAGACCCTCAGGCTGTGGCTATTTTACCAATTGAGGAGGCCAAACGATTAGTTTCCATTCAATATCCTCAAGGAGAAAACTCTCTTAGTCTCTACTCGTTTGGCCACCTCCTTCTCTCTCTGAGTCTGTAACTGTCTTTATTTGTGGTGGTTTAATAGTAGTCACAGTGTTCTTGTCATGGTAATTGCTCCGAGTCACGGGCAGATGAATCCTGGTCTGTCATGGCTGACGTCACAGTCTGCTTAGAGCCGATTGGAAGCTCTTATTCCTAATCTTTGGGTTTTAGATCACCTGCCTCTCATGGTCTTGATACATATCACACAGAGCGAATGCCATTGTTTTGACTAGCTATCATGATCTGTTCCTTATGAATAATAACCTTTTTTTTGTGTGTGTGGAACTATTGGTAACAGTATAATACAAAGTTATAGTACTATGTCCATCATTCACTCAAAAAATAAATAATAATAATTAAACTAAAAATGTTAATGCTAAAGTTAAATATATTACATTTAGAGAAAATGTAGAGCCAGATGGTAATTATTGCAAAATAAACCCTTACACTATAGTAACTATGATATTTTCGTATCGGTCACATCGGTATCGGCCGATATATGATCATTTTTAATGTTATCGCTATCGGCCCGATAAGAAAATGTGGCTGATATATTATAACCGATAAATAATGTATTATTTACGGAAGCGTATTGCATTCACTTGAGATAGTGAGTAAAGATAATTTTTCATGGAAAAAAAGTTTTTGCTCTGTTTTTCTGAATTAACGAGTTAATTATCTCAGAATTACAAGATAATTTTTCATGGAAAAAAAGTTTTTGCTCTGTTTTTCTGAATTAACGAGTTAATAATCTCAGAATTACAAGATAAGTTTTTATAGAGATTTTTTTTGCTCCGTTTTTCTGAATTAACGAGTTAATTATCTCAGAATTCCGAGATAATTTTTCATAGAAAAAAAGTTTTTGCTCTGTTTTTCTGAATTTCTGAGTTTTTGAGATAATCAAGTCATTAATTCAGAAAAACAGAGCAAAAAAAAATGTCCATGAAAAATGATCTTGTAATTCTGAGATAATTAATTATAATGAGAACATCATTCTAATTGTGTGCTTTGGAACACTTTTGTTTTTGTAATCAGGCTATCAAAAATTATATAAAATTTTTAATTTAGATTTACCGGCCAATATTTCGGTTATCGGCTTTCAAATATTTTAGCGCTTTTAACAATATAGATTGTTTCAAAGCAGCTTTACAGTGATAATAGGAAAATAAAGTAACACAGATTGTTTTGGCTTTACAGCAGCTCTAGAATAAAGTTATTGTCCAGCTAAAGTTAGTTTTGATTGATTGATTCACTTCCATTGCAAAGATCATCAGTTATTAACTTAGGGGCCGCTAACACAACACCGTTTTTACTGAAAACAAAGTACAGTATATCCAACATAGCACATACATACAGTACACACTCATATAAAGTGATATGGCAAATCTCAACTTGATTGTTTATATTGTTGCATATTTGAAACCTCATGATTGTCCAGCGATTTATTTAAAGTTGGATATATCTAACTTTTCCTGCATATAGTGCACTCACATAAAGGAACATATAGCAAATATTGGCTCTGTGATTGTTTATAAAATGTGAACTATTTAGGCCTAACTGCAGAGCGATATGCAAATTTGGATATAAGTATATCTTATTCCACATTATTAGTATATATTTTTCCACATACATCATACTCACGCAAGGTTTTAACTGATAGAAGTTCCTAGAAGTTCATTTCTTTCTCCAAGATAGCTGTTTACTCCGAGATCTTTTTGTCAATAAAAAGTGGAAAATACAGAGTATTTTTGTGAGTTAATGGTTTATGGGCTCTTTTTATACGAATGTAGGTAACATTTCAAACCTGTACATTTTCTAGTTGCCACTTTAAATCAGTACATGAATTTATGAAAGATTTAAAAAGGCCATTTCATGTTTTTATGCTTATCTGATTATAAAACACCATTTTGAAAAGCCCTCATGCACAGTCAAAGTATCAGCAACATAGAGCGCACGTCTCCCTGGGAAAAGTGTCCTGTCAGAGACTGGCGGGCGCACATAGGGATGATGCGTTTTTTTCTTTGGCTGAGGCATTAGGAACACTTTAGCACTGTAATCACAGCTTTGAGTGGTATTTATTGCTATTAAAGCCCTGGCTCATGCCAATCCACGGCCTCTTCCAGTACTTGCCTTACTGAGTGAGAAAGATCATTTTAACGACCGACTTCTGCTTGAGTGCTGCTTTCATCCACAGGTCATTCTGAGAGGAAAATATGATGATTAGATAGAAGAAGACGGTCTGATCTTTAAATTCTGGGGGCCACAAGCCAGGTATTGCAATTTCCACTGGGTTCAAGTTGATCAATAACAACAAATACAACTCTCAATTATAACTATTTGTGCAGTTGCATGTTATATAGATAGAGTACAACTTAGTGCACACAGACTAACACGGTCATTTCTAAACTGTAATTTCTGTGGTGACCAAATGTAACAGTTACATAAAGTTCAAGTAAGTGCATGCTAGTTTGGGCAGCACAGGTGATATTTGTTAAACTGCTTTTATGATGCTTCTTACAAGCTCTCAGACTTCATAAGTAGCTGTTTGCTGTGTTCTTAGCTTGCTTTATGATGGAAAGATGTTTTGGGTCCAACTGGGTCAGAACGATTTTCAGCTCGTAATGTTTTGTGGTGTTGGCACTTTTTTTTATTCCAATAGTTAGTTCCTGACATTAGTCAGAGATTCTGTGTACGTTTAAGGTTCTTTTAGGTCAAACTTTGATCTTGGCTAAAAGTTTGTTGAAAATGTTAATTGTCCACCCCAGGAGGTCAAAAAAAAAAAAAAAAAATTATGCTTGCAAGTTTTACAACTTGTCTAATTCTGTCTAAAATGCAGATTTCAACAAAAAATTTTGTGCTAGAAATAAACATTAAATAAACACCAGAATTAAATATACAAAATGTTCAAATTAAAAATTAGTCAATAAAAAAAAAAACATCAGAATGATTGTGGTCAAAGTGGTCATTCAGACCTTGATTTGCTGATCAGGTGTGTTTGAGCTAAACTTTGCAGGACCGTGGGGCTGCGTTAGAAAACTTAAAAATGCTGCCTTTGAAAGATGCATTACAAGGTCGGAAGGCATCAAGGCCCGTCCGAAAACCGAATCCAATGGTAGCTTAACTTCCTCTCTTCTGAGATTCCTTCATCTGATCGATTTTTGAAGGCAGCATAGATGTATCCTTCGCTGCCTTTGAAATCCCACAATCCTGTGCTTTCCATTCTGCGACAGTTGGGCTAAAAAATAAAGATGGCATCTGAAAGTTGCGGTTGGTGGTCAGTTTGTGGGTAAATGTATGTTTTTGACCAAAGTTTTCCACTTCTGATGTCATTTCGAGTGAGAAATTACTATTGTAGAAATTAAATATTTGCCTAGTTATTGCCAAAGCTCTCTATTTTTCTGTAGATCATTAAACCGTTACGCTGCCTCGGAAGTCTGTCCGAAATCAGTTTCCTGAGG